TCTCTCTCTCTCTCTCTCTCTCTCTCTCTCTCTCTCTCTCTCTCTCTCTCTCTCCTCCTCCTCCTCTCTCTCTCTCTCTCTCTCTCTCTCTCTCTCTCTCTCTCTCAAGGAGACGTGCTAAGTAATTGACTTTTCTTTAATGAATCCTTTTTGATCAACGATGCGGAACATTCCTGTTGTAAAAAAAATTAAAATGAAAGCGAGATTCAAATGGCGCAGTGCATAGTCGCCAAGATTTGGATTCAACATGGTCGAGACATCGTGTCGCCTCACGTCCGGCGCCAAAACGTCTGTACATATCTCACCGTTACTCGTTACTAAAAACGAAGAGACTCGCCTGACCAAAAGCAATAAATAGGAAAGGGAAGGAACAAGAACGAAGGGTAGAAGAAGGTAAGATCACAGCAGATCAGGCACGGTAAGCCGTAGCCGTAAATCTACAGAGCTCACCCTCTTGAACCCTCCCTACTTCTCTTTCTTAACTCTGTTATCTCTGTTTGTTTCTTCATTTCAACTTCAGTTCGGTTCGGATTACGCGTCTTTGTAACGCGTAGAATCCTAAGAGAACGAAATTGACTTGGCCACCTTCACCGAATTGCGCATATTCCTGCACATATTTCGATACATTCATGTGCTATTTTCATTTTTCTCATTCCATCCAAATGTCCGCTTGTCCGCTATCGAAATTCTTTCAAATCACATAAATTTAATCAACTCAGCATTAATTTTTAAACTTTTGCAGATGACGTTTCTACAGTTGTTGTGACTTTCTTAGCAACTGCTACGTTTCTGACTAGTACCATCTATAAATTTAATATTCAAATATGTGTTTATAGTTTTTAAATGTTATTTATAAAACATACTAACACACTAACTAAAGCATTGAATGTTATATATTGAATGTTATGCACTGCATAGCATCTAATTGATTAAAATTATTCTATTACACAAAATAAAATCGCTGTTGCAACTGCTACTGTAATAAAATATCTTGTACAAAATATCGAAAAATATTCTCTCAAGTTTACGTTGATATTCATTATACTGTTGTGCATAGTCATCGATTTCCGGTTTGGTATGTCGCGGGCTATGGGCCGATTGCATTCCGGCAGAAATGCATTTGGCGCACGTTTCACTGTCATTAGAACGTAAACTCAACACTAATAACTGATTACACGAGCATTCGCATTAATCGGGTAAATGGGACCTTTCGTCCGCAGTTTGGTTCGTTTTGTTGTCGATATTGACCCGATGACCGGAAATCACGCTCGGATTCGCTCTGATTAACGATGCCATCTTGCTCTTTGACTTTTTCGCTCACACAAAAGTCCACGAAATAACATCGCACCGTAATCCGACGTTATCGTATGATCGATCGTGTAACAGCCCTATAATACAAAAGGGTGAAATTAAGTTGTCTTTCTTCCTTCCCGCCATTTTTCCGTGTTAATCAAAAGACTTATTTTCCATTCCATATATACATACACACACACACACACACACACACACACACACACACACACACACACACACACACACACACATACTACACACAGCATACACACATATTTCTATTTTATTCATTGAAAATCTTATGGCATACTTATTTTCGAGCTCTACAGCCACTATTTCTTATAATATCATTAAAATGTTATTAATGGAATTTAGAAATGGAAATATATTTTAAGTTTTCCTTAAGTTAAAATAAAAACAATGATACATTAATTTGTATATGCCATGGTTTTAGATGCTAAATCGAATAGTAATAGTAGAAAATTGCAATTGAACTTAAAATCTTACGAACTAATTATAAATTTTCAAATAGTTTTCATTATATGAACTTTAACTTTTAATCAGATTAAAATGAATGATTACTTGGATTAATATCATTAATTTTTAATTAATTAATATCGACATCTCTATAACACAGTGCAAGATGAAAATTAATCAACATTAAAAATTATAGAATGCAATGTTGTTACATCTAATATTTTTATCAGAAAAATGTATTCTGTAAAAGTAAATATCGTTGAAATATCCAATAACGATCGATCGCACACAGGACTGAATAAGCATCACGATATCATATTTAATCAAATACGAAATCCGACACGAATAATAAAGTAAAAAATAACGATGTTTTCAAATTTTTCATGAAACATGAATAACTACGAAAAGGTATATCCAGGAAATATCTAATATTGATCATGAGTGTTAAGCACAATTGTCAATTTATAAAGCAAAATGTTTAAACTATTAAAAAAATATTTTTTCTTTAAAATTATCATTCTTACAAATGCATATCGCTAAAGTAATCGATATTAATTATAATATAATTATTTGACACTTGACAATAATATATAAATAATATCAATAAATATTTTACTCTAAAATATATTTTTATCTTAACTTTCCGAGATCTCGATCTCGAAAAAACATTTTATAACATATAATGCATCCACATGTGTCTCGTTGTAAATTGTAAAAGCAAAAACATTCCAAATTTTTCAAAGTTTTATCATTTAATTAACAATTGGTAACAATTTCTCTTAGATTTTTGGCTGTAACTTTATTTTAAACTTTTATTTGATTAATTTAATTGACAAATCTTTTGCATCAGCCTCACAGATCACAATCAATAATTGTTATTACGCAAATTTTAAAAACGACATTTTACCTCTAAAAGTTTTACCTTCTTCGGCAAGCAAAATAGAGAAAGGTTTAATGAAATTAGCCGGGAACTTTTCTAATTAACTCGCTGCGGGGCTGTTTTATCTGGGAGACGTGGTTAAATATTCTACGATCTCGATAGACTTATTATGAACGGTTAATGAGCCGGGATAGCTATCGTATAACCGAGAAAAATTTTTCTTCGAGATTATACGTCAAAGATATTGTAAAAACTATCAAGCAATATCGTCTTTATAATAAGATTTAATTAAAATAATGGATAAAACATTTATATAACTACATGCAGTTGTATATTACCTCTTTAGTAACTTACTTGGTGCAATCGGGATAGTGTTGTTATAAGATCATCTGTCATGTTCAAAACTACATAATGTCGGACACTTATGTCGAGTTTTGATAAGACACAGATACACATTAATCTTTTATAAAAACATGTCTTATCTACTTTTATAAAAAAAAAGTAGATAAATTGAAGTACGATAGATTTGAGTTGTTTTGTATATAGATATACTGAACGCTGCGTGACATGTTTTTCAAATATAATAATCTACTCTCTAAGTAAAAATGTAAAATAAAGTTTTTTTTTTCGATAAAGGTGTCATATTTAAATAAAATGATTTGAAAAATGTATCTGACATATATGTTTCGAGTCGCATTTTCAAAGCATGTATTAGCATACAATTGTGTATTAGCATACAGTAAGCAATAAATTATAAAGATTCGGAAGATTCCATCACATTTCAAATTATACAATATTGCATACGAAAAAGAGACATCGCGTTAACAAGACATATTCACATTTTTAGAAATCGTGAACAAATTCACGAGAATCGCAAAATAATTCAACGGAGAGTGTATTCCGTCTATTTACCTAAAAGTATTAAAAATGAATTTACAGAAACCATTTGGATGGATAAAAAATAACTTCTATAATCAGCAGGCAGCATCCACCAAGATATCCCATAATCAAAAGGAGAAAGGCCGGTGTGATATCTTCAATGTCAAGTTTGGAATCGTCTTCTTCATCTTCCACATGATAATTATTTTCGTTTAATCTGACCATATCTGACCAAAATTCAACAAGACCAGTTTGAACGAGCATTTGGATCTTGAAATTAAATTCTTTCAAATATGGAAAATCTTGCCAAGTGGCGAAGGCCAACGGATAAGTGCCGACGGTCTCTTTCAAAATATGACCGTGTCCTATATTGACCGGACCACGATTATTTGTCAAATTCAACATTACGAGAAGAGCAAAACTTGTATTTCTTCCCTCCACGAGATCCTGGAATTGATTAATAAAATCGCGCTGATTAAAAACAATGAATTTCTCACGGATTATTTTTTCAACGTTCAACAATTCTTTCCTCCAGATCGGCACAATTCTTTCCTCCAGATCGGCTTTATCAGGCGTGTTTAACAAATCCATAAATCGCTGAGTCCCACCTATCTTTAGTCTTGAATTAACCAATTCTTCCATAGAATCCATCTGTATTTCCGATGTACTCATCAGAAAATCAGCCAGAGATCCTAAATAAAGTTGCGTGAGGAAGAAACCGAATAGAGTCCAAGATATAAATTGAATTCTGCCGGAATTTTTCGTCGGCTGACGAAATACCGACACACCGAAAATCAATCCCGTGATATCCAAGAACGTAATATCACGAATAAAAAACAGTTTAACGAATCCACCGGCGATCAGCGCGCAAATTATAGCGTACCAAACGTATGCACCGAATGGAGATATCAATCCACGTAGAGAAACGTTCGTTTCGAACGGTATTAGCCAGCTAATACGCACCATACCATAACAAGTCGTGTACGTGACATCTCGGCTGAAATCCCACAAGAGACCACCGAACACCAAATCGTTAGTCGCGTTATGAAGTTTTAGATATAACTCTGTTTTCGTCGTAGCACTCTCAGATACCCATTCCATTACTTCTCTGTTTAGCTTGATCTTCATGCTACGTGCAATTTCTTCCACCATCGAGCCTTCGACTCCACCGTAACTCGGGTGGTCCGTGTCGTTGATGAAAGACGCGAATGGAAAATTATTGAACATCGCCACGTTTATGGTACCGAGTGACGATTTCGCTTTATTCGCAAAATGCTGCCATCGAATTGCAGTAGCTTCCCGTTCGCATCTGCCTGAAAATGCTGGTTCGGCAAGTGCGTACGATTCGTTGGTCCGGACTGGGAGACTGCTGGCGAACAGAACCGTATCTCCGACTGACGCCAATATCGCGAGCTTGAAAATCGATCGCGGTGACAGTTGTTGTACGAGCGTCGCAGCTTCTGTCAGAAAGCTTTCTTTATCGGTGAACAGACTCGTTAGCACTATTATAAAATTGCAATCGTACTCGCAATTATTGACAAAGGAGGAATCGTTCGTGTCGAGAGCGATTCCGCTTTCCGACAGAATAACAGCGTTTGTCAAAGCGTCGTGTGTCTTCGCTACATTTAGACTGACGTTTAACGTGTAAATTGCGCTCGTTATGCGCAATTTGTTCATCAACAATTCTACGACATCGGAAATGTCTTGCAGCGCATCCGGTAGTAAAAATGATATTTGCTCCGGGTATTCGAAATATTCCTCGATAAACGTCGCTGTACAAGGTATTAAATATCTCGATGATTTGTCGCGTTGACTTTGCCGGTCCATGACATCTTTTAAAATACCAGATTGATCGCCCGCACGTTGTAACGGTACCACACGGACGAAAGCGATGGACATTAGCATGACAAAAAGGAAACAACGCGGATGATCTTCGGACCGAAGAAAGCTAAACGAGTCCAATCTAATTTTGTCCGTGTTACTTCGACACTTGTGCATTACGCTTTAACGGCTATGCGTACTGCAGCAACGACTACCTCGAAATGCAGCGACGCCGAGTGTGGTACACTACTCGGATACTCGGTATTCGCAAAAATACTGTAATACTGTAATCTAGATGGATAAGATCGAAGTATATGTGTAAATATCGTACGATAATGTCACGTTCGTGCACTCACCAGAAAGACAATCTCTATTTATCATTTATTTAGCGACGCGCACGAATTATTCTATGTTACTGATACATTATACGTACGCGTACAACAGTTATGTATACATATGTACGTATGGTTTTTAGTAACATTTAAAATGTTACTAAATAAAAGTAATAAAAGCCTAATAAGCCTAATTTATGTTTACGTCTCTCGTCCAAAATCAAGTAACGAACGAACGAAGAAGAATTCGAAAAAGAATTTGGAATTCTTTTGAGCTATCACCACATCGAAATGAGGTAATGCACACGTGAACATCGATCGCGTGTCGCATTTTCATCGCCATGGCCTTTATGCAAATATTCGTACACACGATACTTGAAAAAAATGTAGCAGTCATGCAATGTTGGCGTTAAAAGCCGCATTTGGCGTCACGATATTGCGTCGTGACATTGCATAAACGCACCTGTCCACGTCGCATATCCAGCGCGGATCTGATTAAGATATTAATTTGCATGATGATCTATAACCGCGCGTATAAATAAAGCACAGAAATTCATATAAATACCTAGTCCTATTAAATTCCTATTAAAATCTCGTTACAAGAATATCCGCTTTTGACGCAACGTTTTGACGTTGTAAGACGTGTCATATCTTTTTGTTTCAGAGCTTTCGTCAGAATTCTATGCTACTGTTGCCCCAGACGAATGAAGCGGCGATATCAGCCGGCGTTTAGATGTAAGCCAAGTCAGGTAAGCCTAAACTATATATGTTCTATATGCATCTATACCTTTTTCTATAAATATTATATCGCAATACAACGCAACACATTAGAACACATATTGAATACAATCGCGAATACAAAGTCCCAAATCTTATTGATAATTTGGATGCATTTCTACGACTATTTCTACTAAAACAATTTTGCCTAAACTTATTTAGCGTTAGTACCCTTAGTTCGTTTAGCGTTAGTATTAGTTAGTATCCTTGCATAAGCAATCAAACCAGTAAAAAATCAGTATATTTTACAAAAAAAGATAATAAATCCGTACTAAAGAACGATATATAGATAGACTCTGATATGAAACAAAATGTATAAAATGTGAATGAATATCTCCTAAATAGTTTATATACAAAAAAAAAACTGTATATTTTTAATAAAAATGTAATTTATTGCGCGTCAATATTACACACCAATCAACATTCCCTCCATATAGGTTTGTGTAATAATACATGACTGCCGCGTGATATTGGTTGGCAACTTTTTAAACTATTAAAACATTCAAAATATCATCGCCTATCGCTTTTAATATCTATTCGATTCGATACACGCTGATGTAATAATGTTGCAGAGATACACGTTACAGTTGACGATTGAGTCGGTCGGACTGCTGAAGGGTGGGGACACGTCATATGTCATAATCTTATTAAAAATTCGAATCTACATCAGATCTAACATTAACGTTTATTGTTAGACACGGGAATCAGTATCCAGTATATTGCTTTTTTCAGAAATTCACATCCGGACGATACTACTCCGCGTATTCCCTGCATCACGTACGGGGAAGTCGAGAAAATTCCGGCGAGCAAACCTACATTTAACAATGGAATATCATCGCGAGCTGGTCATCGGCCGTTGATCGTGGAATTCCTCGAGAACCTTTTTTCTATTTCTGTTAAATTTCCGTTATCGCTTTCCCTTCGTCCTTAATGCAACATAGATAAAACAGTATAATAGTTTAGCAGAAGTCGATTTCCAAGTAATCACGATCCCATTATATCCGTTTTCCAAAATCCTTGTATAACAAAGATCAACGAACATCAACGAATATCAACGCATTTCCATAGAATATAAATTCTCGGTATGTTTTTATTAGTAGTAAATGTCTGACACTTGATCTTGAACACGCACTTGCACATAGCACTACTCTTTATCTAAGGATGCACTCTCTTAATATAAATACTTTCCTCGTTATTCATTTCTTGATGATTCTCTTACAAGGCAATCTCATACCCTTAATTTCGATTTTTAGACAATTTCTCCCGAGTGTGAGTTATCGATAAGTGTGAATTATCGATATGTGTCAATCGAGATACGCATATGGATTATTATAATAACGGAACGAAATAAATGCGTTTGGTTCTTGTAATCTTGTAATTTTTTTCTTGAATATCGATCGTTTTTTTCATCACCGCGGACGTGACGAAGAAGATGAACATTTTTAATATAAATATAAGTAAAATCGCAACCGTGGACGCGATAGCGTATTTTTAACTAACGAAAAAATATAATTTGTGAATGACGAATCCGAATTCTATTGGAATACAAAAAATGCGTGCGTATCATATTCTTTTTTCAATCTTATATAGTATTCCCTTGCAATAAAAATGACAAACTGGTGCAATTTCTAAAAATTATTCTAATTATTCTGTTGCAAAATCTCACAAACTTTTTCGTACAAGACCTCGTATATTTATATTTCAAACGAATTGCCTCTAAAAGTTCGCCTATGATCAGGGACCATGAAGCGCGCTGCTTGAAAGATGTAAAAGTTTGATGACATAAAGAACGCAAGTGACTGTGCAGATATTAGAAACGACAACGGTGCTCGCGCTTCTGTGACACGTTCAAATTATTTCCTTGAACGTAAAAATATTGTTTAATCTTCACATTTCTTTCTTTTAGTATCTCATTAACACACGGCACGCTGAAAGGAAAATTCGTGTGCGACTACGTAATTCCAGATTTCGGACATTTTTGCAAAATATTCTTTATTTCAAAGCATATATTATCTTTATGTATATCTTTGTGGAAGACGTATATAACATTAATCATGATGATGATGATGTTGACGACGATGATGATGCTTATCAATGATGTATCACGATCACGAATCGTTTACATAGATGTACAGTATGCTCACGTATACTCGCGAAACATAAAATTCTGGAATGTCGAGAGAGGAAGAGAGTAACAGATAAGACATTAGATCACAAGATACAAAGCAAAATTGATACGTCCGCCTTTAAAAACTCTAAAATAAACGCGCGACCTCGTGCTATCTCCAATAACCTACATAGATACTTTTAGTTTCGCGGTCGCGTTACCAGAAGAAGGAGAGTCGCGAACACGGGACATATATCGGATAAAAGTGAGAGAAGACAAAAATAAGGAGTATCGTTTGACCTTGGGGAATTCAACACCCGATAGAACAAACGAGAAAACTCTGATGCGATCACTATCCCATGAGACGGTGTGACGAAAGATAAAGCGAGCGGGCAAAACCTTACTTTTTCCGTGAATTATCACGTAAACTGTACGCGTAATATCTAATCTATAAAATCTCGTTTCTCGAATTATATAAAAAATTCTTTGTGGTGAAAAAATCATTAATCACATTGGCGAAAATATCGATGATCGAGCAGTTATAAATCAATTTGTTTAAGGCGAAAAGACAAAAAGGGGAGAAATCTGGAAAATATGTAAACACGGTTCAAACGAATGTAAATCCATTCATTTTGCCAACTTTTATTCGCTTTGTCGGTGAGCTATAAATTTAAAAACCGACTCGCGTTCGCATTTGCGGTGGCATTTTTTTCACGGCTGGCCGAATATTGAATTATTTGCTTTACGGCCAAGAGCTATCGAAAAACCGTTTAACCACCTAGACCCTCTCCCTATTCAGCCTGGGGTTGTCTCTTCGACCGCACTATTCGCACGATTCGGCGCAAAGCCATGTGTACACGGGGTATGAGCGTGAAGTGTAAAGCTTGTCGCTGATCCGTGGCGACCTTTAAAGGGAAGCAACGAGCGCGCGGAGAGATTGGTTGCGTTTGAAGCGCGAAGCCGATGGATCGATTGTCCCTAGGACGACGACAGGAGAAAACTGCTGGTCGCGTCCCATCGGATAAAGGTGCTCTTGCGGCTACTTTTCGCGGAAAACGAACCGAGTTTAGAAAATACTCGCACGCAGCTAGCAATAATTTTAACAAACTTGACGGTCACATTCGGAACCGGAGAGATTCGAAAAACAGAGAGAGAGAGAGAGAGAGAGAGAGAGAGAGAGAGGAGGGAGGGGGGAGGGGGAGGGAGAGAGAGAGAGAGAGAGAGAGAGAGAGAGAGGAGAGGAGGAGGGGGGGGGGAGGGGAGGGGAGAGAGAGAGAACGGAACAATGAAATACTAGAGACTCGAATCGTCTCACTTTCGGAAATCATTAAATTTGATTGTTACAATTTTATATCTTAATGCCGATAATGCCGATGATAACTCGGTGATAATTCGTTTTCTATGTCTCACGCATTAAGCACTCACGAACGCAGTTTAATCTTCATGATAAAAAAGGATAAATGTGCAATGTGTACTTGAAATAAAAGTAGAATATGCGGTGATAAGGTACGAACGATCGGTACATGCATAATTCCATCTGCGTAAATTCGCGATTTTGCTAGTTATCGAAAATCTATTTTTATCCCAATCGAAAGATGCATATATATATATTTCTAGAGATATAAAGGAGGCGTACATTACATACGTTACATAGCAAATTTACGTAACGAAACGTGTAAAATTTTAATCGTTTGATACTACTTTGATTCTTGTCACAATGAATCGTTCTTAATAGCGGATAATGAAACGATGAAACATTGAAACAATGATCGTAATTATTTTGTTTCAGTACATTTCCGGAATGGCAGCGGGAGGACAAGCGAGTAACGTGAGCTATAGCAGTGTCAGCCAAAGTAGCGACGGCGGCATATGTGCGACCGGAAGTGGTCTTCCCAAAGTATGTGACGGCGGTATGTGACGACACACGTCGGCCCGAACAGGGCCGCGTCGAGAGCGAGCGATCCGATTCCGTGATGCGTGAACAGAAGCGTGATTCCACTCACTGGATTTACTTTTAAAATAATGAGAGAATCCTTCCGTGTGACTTGGACTCATCATCCGATAATTATCTTTAATAAAAAGGTACTCCAAATTGCTCCAAAATGCTCCAAAACTACTTATCAGCGCGAGACGTTCCTGCGAAAACATCATCAAAAGGGAAAACATCGTATCGTGAGCGATACAAGAACGAAATATCTAGAAAGCACGTACTTAATGTGGATTCATAAAAGCTTTCATATTGCCGTGGCTAAAAAAAGTTGTTGGATTTTCGTTCGGGTAATCGCATTAACGAGCAAGGGAGTTGACGCTTTGCGGATATACACATGCTCACATTCACCACCGCGAGCTCTTGAAGAAAAGCTTGTAAAAATCAACTGTATTTATCAATTGTATTTATGTTAGATCTTGCAGAAAAAAATATCCTTTCACATGTGGAATCGTAAAAATACGATATCTCTCGCAATCTCTCGTCCAAAGATCGATTACATCAATCTGGATCATTAATTAATAAAATTGTATCGAACTGACGAAAGTATTGACGAAAATAGAATAGAATTATAATGTAAAAAATGATAGTCAATATAAAATGAGATAACGATCGTTAGTAAAATTAATTATCTAATGCGATACAATCGAAAACTAATTGTGAAAGCTAAATTCGATATTCGTGACAAATTAGACAGAGCACGACCATATGATGGAACTTGTTCGATAGAAAAAATAAACATGTAAAAGCACGCGCGCAAACAACAAATGTATAAATAAGAAACCTCTCGATAAGAAAGATGGATGTATTCCACAAGCAGTATATATTCCATTCATGTTCCATTCCTTTGTGAGCGTACACAAGTACGCACACAAGTAGTTTTGCAAAAAGAAACCAGTCGTGTATATTGAATAGCCTTAAGATTAGAAAAAAGAGTTAGACGAAAAAACGTTCGTTGAATTAGTTGCAGCTTATACGAGACTCCAAATGAAAGGGCTTCCAAATCCAATTTCTTAGAAAAATAATGTAATTTTTATCAAGTTTTTGCAACACATTTTTATTTTAATGGCATTATCACTATTCTTCTTGCCGAGTTTATTTCCTAGTATGTACGCTACTTCATTATACGTCATTTATACATCATTACACAATTTTCCTTCCGATAATCGATATAAGTATTAAAAAAGAAATATTTTCTTTATGCAGAATGCATAGAGATAAGGTATTCATTTCTTATTACGATAAAAAAGATTAATAGATATTGAAGAGAAGCAGTTGAAATATCCATAAATTATCAAATTTGTAAGAATCTCTTAGATGTCTCTGAAAACTATGAATAATTGGCTTCTGCCTTTCAAATGCAAGCGCGAATACTTTTGTCTTTGTAAAACAATTTATTTAAAAAAATGTGCATTGTAATATTTCTATAAAAGAAATCTTCTATTTAAGTTAAAAAAAGCACTTGATATATTTAGATTTGTTTTTATGCTGGAAACAATTAATTTGGCTTTTGTCTACATAATAGTGACTACGGGACCAAAAAGTTTTAACTTCTAACTTTTTTTTCTATCGCTAATATTTTTCGAGATACATGACTCGGTCGCTTTCTATAAAATATTTCGCAGATATGAAATATCTCAACAAAGACTATTCAAAATGGTGCTCGTATTCATACCGAACACGAACATATTATATGATGATTATATCATAACATGTTATGAGACTATCGAGTATCGCGTTTAATATCTCATCGAGAGACACTACATTACATTATATTAATAGAAAATAAATAATATTTTCACAAAAGAATAAACAATCGAATGATGTTGAACAAACTGTCAAGCAATATATCGAAAAAATTTAGTAAAAGTTTAGTAAAAATCCATTACTACTCTCATTGAAAAAGATAAGAATAAAGACAAATCGTACTCTTCATTATCATCTGGTAATGCAGATATTCTATTAACTGGCAACTGATGGCATATACGTTAATTGATAATGATAATTTTAGTCAAATTATCATACTTGATACTTCGATTAATTTGGCTGTACTCATGCGTTTATTAAATATCGAAAATATGTATTATATTGAATTCGATAGAGTAGAGAATATATCAATAATTCTTCTTTTCTGAGCTATCAATGTTTTTCTACTTAACATTATTTTATTTTTAAAAAATGTAATCTTATTTTGGACATCTTTTCATATAAATTAATTCACTGTATTTTTCAGTGGACTAATAATTAAATCTTAGTAAAACAGTTGTGTATAAAACATCTGAAACATCTGACAAATAAATATAGAAAATTATTATTAAATGTAAAAAAAAAAATGATAAAATCCCGATGATAAAATAATAAAATAATTACTCTTTCAGAGAAAAAATTGCAGATTTAATTTTTTTCTTTTTGACTCTGTAAATATCATTTAAATCATAAAGTATTATGACTAATAGAAAGAATATTACTTTTTAATAAATATAGTCTTGTGTGTATGTACAGAGGTACGGAGTCTCAATTTAGAATTTCTCAAGACTGCACCTCAGTACTTCCAAAAAGTGTGTCTATAACAAACTGTCCTTTATGATATAAAATTATAATAAAAGTATTATAATAAAAGTATAATTCCTATTATTCAACTTTTATTTTAGTTTCCCATGCAATTTCCATCTACCTTAAAGTAAAATAAATTATTTAAAAAATAAGATATCTCCTTTTACTTCAAATGTTGAAAATAATTTATCCTTATCATATATCATCGATAAAAAAATATACTAGCTAGAGGCTATGACAATTTTATTTTTGAAAGTGTGCGTAGTTGTTTAAATTTAGACAATTAGTTTACAATATGATATTGACTTTATGATTTTTTTATTATGTTGATATATGTATTCCTTAGATATATGTATACATATATAACATTCATATTCATAGTTTATTTAAAACTAAATTCTCATATAATTCTATTAATTCCCCCCTTCTCTCTCTCTCTCTCTCTCTCTCTCTCTCTCTCTCTCTCTCTCTCTCTCTCTCTCTCTCTCTCTCTCTCTCTTCCTCTCTCTCTCTCTCTCTCTCTCTCTCTCTCTCTCTCTCTCTCTCTCTCTCTCTCTCTCTCTCTCTCTCTCTCTCTCTCTCTCTAAATTAGTATATAAAATTACGATACATATAAAACTTTTATATTAGTGATATCAATACTCTTCAATTACCTCCTCTCTGATAACAATGAAAATTTGTTCAGTTTATAGTTTTAAATAATATTTTATCGACACAACGTCTCGATAATTTTTGAAATGTTTTAATGCTTCACAAAATATCATTCATCTTTTACTAATCACGTTATGAAGATTTTACATATGTCCAATACACAACACTTCACATATAAATAGAAAAACTTTCTAGGGATTTCATTCGATAACAACGCTTTCGTAAAGAGACAAATTTTATTGGAGGTCTCTTTCGCCAACCATATTTGTTGTTAAATTTATAGGCAAATTGCGATTGGTCAATTCCAATGGAATAACCGGTCGGTTAAATTAACCAAGATTGGTGAGAGAAGAGACCATGGAGAATATCACGGACAAGATGACTTCTCTAGTAGTTCCTTCCATTTTGTTGCCCATCCTGTAAACAAATTCAATTTAGGTTGACAAGCCTGTTGACATTATCTGTTACCAATTTTGTGGTTAAGGGTCGGTAGGAGTGTCGGATGGGCTAACTCCGACTTGATCTAAAAAATGATTATCCACTCCTTATTTACAGTGCAGATATGTATCTCTACTCAACTATATTTTGTCTTATAGAAACGATGTTTCGTCAACTTGAAACTTTGTTAAGATAATTTCTTTTACAATTACAAAGCTACCTACAGAACCAATTTTGCAATTTAGCTCTTAAATAATTAAAATACTATCTAAATGTAACTCTCTACTCCTTTACATATATGCAGATATATATTTGAGTACACCCATATATTATCTCGTAGAAGCAATATTCTGCCATGAATCCTTTTCTACGTATTTTTTATAAAATTATGACTTGCTACAGAGCCGGTTTTGCAATTTGGCTCTTAAAAAAATTTACGATAGATGAAAATATTTGCACCTTATTGTTCTATAGTGCAAATCTATTTACGCATAAATGAATTATTCATTTTCACACATTTTCTTACAAAAATCGTTCTGTAGCTTTCGTCAGGCAAATATTCTGATTATAAATATCATAATTATATAGCTTTTCTCGCAGCATTTTGGCCGTAATATGGATGAAAAGGGATTTACCTCCGATAGAGGTCTCCATAGTCTCTCCTGCCGACCCTTAAGTTAGGTTAGGTTAAGATTATTAATGTATACATATGTATACTTTGTTTCCGTCAAGTGATTGACGAAAAACGAGAAATTTTGTAGTTGGTTAAGTTATTTGTCGAATGTATTTACACCTACATATAATACAACGTAACAAAGATGAGCGATTAATATATTCATCGTATCACGCGTATCGCTTAAATGTAATGAAAATGACGTATCCCGGATTAGTATTACTTGTCGGAGTTGGAGTTGGAATAGCGACTTTCTTATATTATGTGTTCACCGAAAATAATCATGCGGAAGAACAGCCATTTTCGTATTCGAGGAACAGACGATCATCGGAAGATCGTTTCGAAGATCGTTCTTGGTCAACGTCGCATTCAGATGAAAAGTACTTTAATACACATATACATTAAGTATCATGTATCTTTGTACATTAACAATGTCATCTGACTTTCTTCTCTTTGAGAACTTTCTTTCCATTTTCTGCAGACGTAAAACTATTTTTCTCTACCACTTTTCGTTTTTTAATAACTTATAAAATATTACAAAGAACAATCATATTTTACCTTTGCATGGTAGAAGGTTATAGTATTAGAAATGTGTTATGTGTGGCATGTTTCTACAAAAGATGTTTACTTTCAGTGTACTCTTAAATAGAAGAAACTCGTCAAGCTCTTCAAAAAATAAAGAGAAAAAAGATCTTACAAGTAAAGATGATATAAACATTTGTTCGATCTGTCAATATGCATTAATTGATTCGGACATAATACAATTGCGTCCTTGCAGGCATAAGTTCCACAAGAGTTGTATTATTGATTTGACAAGACATAATCCTGGGGTAAAATCCAATATGTAGACTAATATACAGATACAAGCTTTTGAATCAAATTGGGCAAAAAAAAATTCATGATTATTACTTATTTGTGTTGCAGGCTCTTTGTCCTAATTGCAGAAGAAAATTTAAAGCAATATAAATTCATCACCTATGTAAATCACACATGCAATGTCCTATTTGAATCATTTTGTACAATTATTTGCAAATATTAATTGTTACATGATTGTTTCGAATGTAATATATTTTAGATATTTATAATACGTTCAAAACAATTATATAAATCTTGCACAAATTACATTTACATTATATAATTTTACATATATTATCGATCTATGTGAAATATTTATACTCACGTGAAGATATATTTCCAAAACTAACTTTTTGACTACATGCTATGCAAAAAGATAGAAAATAAAATTTTTTTTTATCAATTATACTTATAAAATTATAAGTAACGTATAGTAGATCTATTCTATGAATATTATTTTCAATTTGTTCTTCAATCTTCGATTAAGTCATATAATCTGTTGCAAGAAGCAAACAATATTAGAATTTACAACGACAGGATTATAATAAAATCCTGTCTAAAAATAAAAGCTAAAGCAAATAATGAGCAAACGATTTCTGATTGCAAAATGGGTGCTTTCTATCAAGTTAATATCCACATGTAACTTTCACTCCTTTTATTACATTCGATTAATTCGAAGAATCTCGTTTCGTTACGCTAAAATCACTTTATTACCTAAGAAATGTAATTATCTTCATATTTAGCTCTGATCAAAAGTATATAAGTACAAAAGTTGTAATTACATTTATTTAGGAATCAGAATATTATATCTAGCGACTGTGGTACTAAAGTAGTTAACTATTCTATATATATATATATATGAAAGAGAAATCAGTCTTATCCATCTTTAATAAAATAATTAGCAAGAGATTACACACACATTACACATACAATTACACAAGCATACAATCGAGTATCGTATGAATATGTCCGATGACTGTATAGATACATAATTAATGTAGCGATGCGTTACAATCGATCCCTGTTTTCCTCTTCGTTAGCAATAAATGAAAATGTAAATGCTTCTTTCGTAATAACTAAAACGCAAACGACACGTCTGGTTATAACGACATGCCGCAATGCGAGACGATGCGACACAGCGCGTGTTCTGTAACATTTGTCTAGTGAGCGGCATGGAAAGCGAGGTAGTCGCAGGTAGTCGCGCTTTGGTCAGTAATCCGGGAAGCGTTTCCGTTCGGTCGGTGTGCCGAGGAGAGAATCTCTGTCTCTCGCGTATGTCGTTTTTTTCACGCGTAGCCAAAAGTAATAATCACAAATCCAGAAATGCGGAAATAGTAAAAAGAAAAGAACGCGAATCGATCGCGTTCCTCGCGCGTCAAAATGTATCGATGGAACGAACATGACAGGATTATTGTTCGTCATACTTATCGTTACTCATGCGGTCGCAGGATCGCGGTTCTCCGCGGCCAATGAAAAGCGAGGTACGTATCTCATTGTACATCGATGTAAATTACGAATGTAACTAAACGAACATTTAATCCGTCCTTCCCTATCTTTTTCTTTTTTCTTTCCTTGCGCTTTTTCTGTGCGCGTGAACAAGATGCGTCGTTTAGAATATTTTCGTTCTCTTCGTGTGATACATGCGGTTTGTTTGAAATTCAAAATGTGAAATGTGTTTGAAATGTGTTTTATCTGTGGGCGAAATAACTCGTGATTCAATATGTAAAGCAATGTCGATCCTCGATCGATTCGATCGATCATGAACCGAATGTCATTCGGTCTACCGTCATGATCATGATATCAACGCGCTAGACGATAATTGTATAAATCTGCGCTTGTAATTGTAACAAGACTTTTAAGAAAAGTATGCTGCTTATTGAATTTATACAAACGGCGAATTTCAATAAAAATAAATAAATAATGTTTATCCACATTTTCTGGGCATTCATTATCCGATTAATTACATTAATTACATTACACTCTTTTCTTCTAGTGTAAAAAGTTTACTCGGCGATAACGCGATCACGATACGTAATCATTAATAATCGATAATATAAACCGATCGTGTCTCATCAAGATGTGCGTGAAATATGTTTTTTAACTAGTCCAAGTCATTGCAATAGCGAAATACGAATTTTGGAAAGAGGAATCAAATTGGTACCAAAGATCGTCTCTTTCCCGTAAAGTATGCTCGCGTATCTCAAGTATTCCACGTGTGCGAATAATACACAGGCTGCAGGCTGCAGGCTGCAGGGTTAAATATCGGTTGTCCCATTTCTGGACCGGTTCCACATACGATCGTCGAAAAAAGCAAAGAGAGTTGAAGTGGATCGAAACAAGTTGCGCGTTAATTTTCGTCGATTTTGTCCATGCTTCGACAGTGCGGTAGTGCGAGTTTGCAGCACTCTTGAAAAAATATCCCGTATCGTCGGCAAACTCGCCTATTCCTCGCGTTGATATGTTAACAATCCGATATAC